ATTAGACAGAAGAGGAAAGATTAGATTAAAGAGAAGAGATTAGAGAGAGAGATATGAGAGGAGAAAGCTAAATAGAGAGATAGAGATAAAAGATTAGATTAAAAGAGAAGAGATTAGAAGAGAAGATATGAGAGGAGAGAGCTAAATAGAGAGATAGAGAGAGAGGAAAAGATTAGATTAGAAGAGAAGATATGACAGGAGAGAGATAATAGAAGAAAGAGAGGTTAAAGAGAAGATATGAGAGGAGAGAGATAGAGAGAGAGGAAAAGATTAGATTAAAAGAGAAGATATGAGTGGAGAGAGCTAAATAGAGAGATAGAGAGAGAGGAAAAGATTAGATTAGAAGAGAAGATATGACAGGAGAGAGATAAATAGATAGGAAAAGATCAGATTAAAAGAGAAGATATGAGAGGAGAGAGATAGAGAGAGAGGAAAAGATTAGATTAGAAGAAAAGAGATCAGAAGAGAGAGATAAATAGAGAGATAGATAGAGAGGAAAAGATTAGATTAAAAGAGAAGAGATCAGAAGAGAGAGCTAATAAGAGATAAGACAGAGAGGAAAAGATTAGATTAGAGAGAGGTAATAGAGAGGATAGATAGAAAGGAAAATATTGGATTAGAAGAGAAGATATGAGAGGAGAGAGCTAAATAGAGAGACAGAGAGAGAGGAAAAGATGAGCTTCCCCAGACGGCTCCCTCGTTTCTTGAGCATTACACAGCAGATCCTCGAGGAAGTTCTTCAACTCGCATTTATTTGATTAAAGGCAGTAATTACGAAGTAGATCACGGCCGAGTCCATTTAAAAAGTTAATTCGGCAAAAGTGAAAGATATTTTTTTTCTTCTCTCTCTCTCCCCTTCCTCTATCTCTCTTTTTCTTTTATTCTTTTATTCTAGTTTTTTTTTTTTTTTGAAGAGAAGGGGAGCTAATGAAGTGTAAAATATTTTATGTACACGATTATATTAAGCCTAATATATATGTATACACGCGCGCGCACACACACACACACTATCTGTCTATCTATTTATATATATATATATATATATATATATATATATATATATATATATATATATATATATATATATATATGTTACACACACAATATGTGTGTGTGTGTGTGTGTGTTTTTGTAGTGATGACTTTAAATCGATATCAGCTGTGTTTGCAAAATTAAATTGATAGACAAATAAGCAAATGAACAAATTGACAAAAATAAGTAAATACACAATTCAACACACCACCAAACAAAAGCAAATCAGCAACAACAACAACAAATACTCTTAAACAGACAGACTTGTAATCCATTTTTTCCCGGAAACTAATGTATTTTCACAACACACCACAAACAAACGCTAATCAACAACAACAAAAATATTCTCAAACAGACAGACATACAATCCATTTTTTTTGCAAATCAACAACAACAACAACAAAAGTATTCTTAAGAAAGACATAAAATCCATTTTTTTTTTTTCTCGCAAAATCAACTTAACAACAAAAATATTCTCAAACAGACAGACATACAATCCATTTTTTTTTCTCTCGGAAACTAATGTATTTTTTTCTCTCTTCTCTTTCCAGCTCAAGTTCCGTCCTGGCTTCGACCGGCCTCCGCGACCGCTGAAAGTACAGATTCAACAACAGAGAGATGGGAACAGTAAGGCTCATTGGCAGTGATATCATTCTTGCTGTTTTGTTGTTAGATGTCGTCATTATTATTGTTGTTATTGTTGTCATTATTATCTATATTACTGTCGTTATTCTCATCATTCAATATTACTGTCATTATTATAATATTACATTATTGTTAGCATTATTATCTATTACTATCATTATTGTTAGCATTATTATCCTATCATTATTGTTAGCATTATTATCTATATTACTATCATTATTGTTAGCATTGTTATCTATATTGCTATTATTGATATCTTTATTTTCATTGGTATTATTATTGTAGTTATTGTTATAGTATTATCATATAATTATTTATTATAACCATTATCATAATCATTTTATTATTATGTTTCTAATTTCATTGTTGTTATTATCATTGTTATCATTATCATTATTATCATCAGCATCGTTATTGTTATTACTATAATCAATATTATTATTACCATCATTAATATCAGTAATATTAATATCATTATTGCTGTTGCGTTTATTATCAAATTAGTCATCAATACTATCCTTTTTATTATTGTTTCTGATGTTATCATCATTATCATGTTATGATTATCCTCATCATTATTAACACCATCAATATCATTATCATCATCATTTGTGTATATACGCCTGCATCTATGTGTACGTATGCGTGTATGTAAATATTTAGGAAGTGACTATTGGTACGGCAGAAAAAACTCCCGATTGGTGTCCTGCGCATGCGTGGTGACAGAGACAAGATGGCGGCGCCTTGACACGAGAGATAATAATATTCTCAATTAGTTATGTTAGATTAGATAATACTATTCTCATTTAGGTTTTAATTAGGTTCGTACTTATTATCCAGAAATGGTGTTTATATTCGCATGTGCATATGTGTGCCGTACGCCTAGCCAGGAGAAATTGGATACGGCTGCCGTACCCGTAACCTCGGCCATATATCTACACACCTATATCTATTCATTTCTTATCTTAAAGATTTTATGAAAGTAGAGTAGTTAAAGATTTACAACGTGAGATAATCTTCATTTTGATTTAAATTAAGCAGGGAATATCACGGAATCACATTTCTGATTAAAAAGAAAAGGGAAAGAGAATAAAAATTATATTGACTTTTTTTTTTTTTTTTTTTTTTTTTTTTTTTTTTGATCGAGTGAGAAAATCATTTAAACATGACAAGCTTTTCCTAGAATTCTGAAAAAAGCGAGCATTATCAGCATACATATGATCATTTTGTTTGTCAAGGGAAATTTATACATTCGAATGATAAAAAAAAAAACTAATTGAAAATGTGTTTGATCGGAATGTGATGTAAATATTGAGAACAGAAATGAATTTATGTTTTGAACTGTTAAGTGATTTATTTGATGAAGTAGAACGCATCCCTTGCTATTTTGTTCAGGTAATTTAGATTAATTGATAATTTTCATTTTTATTATTATAATATCTGTTATTATCATTGCTATTATTATTGTTACTATTATCATTACCGTTATTGTTATTGTTATTATTATTATTATTATTATTATTATGTTATTATTATTATTATTATTATGTTATTGTTATTATTATCATTATTATCATTATCATTATTTTTTGTCTTTATCATCATCATATCATTATCATCACCATTATTATTATCATCATTGGTATTTTAGTGTAGTTTATTTTATCATTGTTATAGGATGTGTATGTTTATTACTTTATTCTTGCAGCATTGACATATTTGATTTTTCTTTGCACAACCATGTATTTGCAACATTCAACCGATGTTTAATAATTATTAAATTTTCACTGACTCATAATTGTCATAGGCGCTTTGATATGAACATGAGTCACCGCCAATGACTCACTTCCCAGGACTCAACAAGGACTCATCCTCACAGGACCACTCATCAAAAAATTACCAACGATTCATATTTCCAGTCGTGAGTCACTATAGATTTCTCTCTTAGCTTCCGCGACACAGATTCACCATACAGAAGACTCACTATATTTCTATGAGTCTCTTCTTCATTTCACCATGTCAACAGATCATAATTCACGGCATGGATTCATCAACGCCTCACTGTCTCTCTGTCTCACCATACAGTATCTCTCTTCATGGTTTTTATGGCTCACCATATCGACATGTCACTATATCTCTATGATCATTATAATTTTATCTCACCTTACCAACATTTATTCACGCTCACCATAGCAACGTGAATCAACACGTCATCGACACACTATATGACTCACCATAACAACGATTCACTTTACCCAATGCATATCATACCCACCATACTCCACACTTATACACCATACCACGACCTCACCCACCTCCACCATACCCTCCAACTCCATACCCCCCCCAACCCTACCAACTCACCATACCCCCCTCCACCATACCCCCAACCCTCACCCACCTACTACCATACCTCCCCAACCACCATACCCCCCCCCATCACACCATACCCCCCCTCACCCACCACCTTACCCCCCACTTACCCCCCACCTTACCCCCCCCACCCCAACTCCCCACCCCCCCACCACCCCTCACCTACCACCATTACCCCCCCAACCCCCCACCCCCCCCCCCCCCCCACCCCCCATCACACCGTACCCCGAGACTCACCCCGCACCCCCC